AACGAGGCGACAGCCGAGTTGAATGGAACATTCCATCTTTCACCGAATGAAAATATTCTTACCATTGCACGAAGAAACATTCATTATTTGTTTTATATAATACCAAAAGTCCAGAACAGACTAATAGATTCGTATGAGAAGCATTTTGGGGGATGCGATTTATCGAAAACACAAAGAGTGCAATTGTACTATACGTTTTATTCCATTGCACTCGCGGAGAGTGCAATGGAACGCGTTCCATTGCACTCTTGGGAAATGGGATTTTCTATTCAATATCACGTGACCATAAACAGCCAATTAAACGATTAGAATTTAATAAGGTATTATATAAACATCTATATATCTATCTTATATACATGAGTCAATTAAAAAAAGTTGTCCTTCGCTAACCTTACTATAAACCTTAAACTTCAAACTCCAAGCGCACAAAGCTTAATGGGAGCACAAGTTTCGGGCATAGTAGAGTTGAATATTGCAGCCATTTGAGAATGAATTGTTCTCTAAGGAGATATTTACCATGTGTACATGTCTTGCTTAGTGTTTGAAATATTTTCACTTAGCTGTCCGCCATCTTGGATAATTTTTTATCTCATCGGTGATTTTAGTGACGTCAAAAGCAGGGTTAGCCATATAAAACTACATCTTAAATGACCAAATATAACAGTAAGTCTTGTTTGAAAAGTTGCTAGTCACTTTCTTATTTGAAATAGTCACCGAAGTATGATTTTGGGCTCATAATAACCAATTGCTCTCCGCATGAATAAAATACTTGGGTAACCCTGCTTATGACGTAACATGCATATCCGCCAAAATCCAAGATGGCGGAATGCTCGCTGATTTGTGATTCTTTCTGTCAAAATATCTCAAGAAATAATAAAGCTACGCAAAATCGGTAAAGGAGATTTACATATAATTTTAAAATGAAATAATAGAACTATGTTGCCATATCCCTTTAATACTATACTCAATATACCCTTCACAGAATTCCCATGGAGCATTGCGCAACTTTTTGGCGGAGCAATTTGTAGTGATGGGCGATACCAGGATTTTTAATTCGATACCGATACTTTTAAGAACGGTATCGGTCGATACCGATACCTATTTCGATACCAAAATAAACACAAAATTTCAATTTTCGATTCCGGAAGAGAGTACTTAAATTGCTAGTATCGGCTACTTTAGATACCTGCTGGTTAACGGAAGAACATTTTACATTACTGTATGTAACCTAACTAAAGCTACTAAGTAAACCAAAAGCCCAAAACGTAATAAATATTTTCTATACATGGCTTGGCGCACCACATTTGGAATATTAAAAGTTGTTTTAGTGGTCCATTAAGTCTTATTCAACCAAGAAGTGAAATTAAACAAGTCCTTTAAAACAGGGTGCAAGTATCGAACGATACCACGTCAGTAATCGATACCGATACCACTGTTTGTGGTATCGCTGGTATCGAATACCGAGTACTCGGTATCGCCCATCACTAGCAATTTGGAAAAACTATGGAGACGGATAATGAATTAAGAATTAATGATTGACTTCGGGCGCTTCGATACTCACTATTGAATAATTTAATAGGCCTGGTGCCTTCGTGTCTCGCTCAAAAACAGCTGCTCGCGTGCCATAACTATAACAAACTTTAAATTATAGCGTCCTATCGTCCAAACATTAAATTAGGCTAAGGTTTATATACAGCAATCTGATAACACTGATGAGTTCTGGAGGCAAAATTCATTAGGAGAGAAATGCAAAGATTTATTCGAGCACACATTATTACTTGGCAACAAACAGCTCACACATATAAAATTTTTCGTGACACATACAAATTAATCATGATAATTTTAAGCGATACTTATTGCAAAAGTTCACACAAATGTAATCCGGAATAGAAAAAAGCCGACCTTAAGATACCACAACAAATTTCATTTGAAACACAGACAAAAAAAATAAGCATCAATGCGCAATCTAAGTACGAACTCAAAAACAGACTTTTTCAAATTAATTCTAAAGCACGCAACACAATTTGTTTCAAAAATAATTTCCGACGATAAATTGCACCTAATTGTTATTGCTTTAGAGTCGCTCTGTGCTTATTAACCCCCTGTTGACGTGAGGGCTTCAATTATTTTAAATTCCCGCAAGTTATTGCAAATATCAAACGGGTTTAGCCATAAACCGCTGAGCCTCGCCTTGACTTAAATTTTTGGCTTTGAATTATCGCTGCTACCTGAGCAAAAGGCGTTGATCTAAGGAGAATTTGAAAGTTGAATTTTGAGAAGGAAAAATCGAAGCGTAGAAGCCTTTGTTTTATAAGATAAATCGTTTGGCAGACAGAAAGTACATCAGATATACAGACGTTCAACTATACGCTTGTAAGAACGGTTCAAGGATGATATACAAATGTGCCCAAGGTGTAACTTTTGTTGTTTTGGGTATTATGTGCTTGTTTGGCGCGAGAACCGAAGGTAAGGATATTATAGTATTATGGAGATGCCAAATTGTAGAAGTTTCCTGCCTGATTCAATATAGTTGTAAATGAGATCAAATTCATAATATTCATGAAGGAACAGCCGAAATGCAATTACTTTTATGACTTTTTCACAAATTTTTCTTAAGATTACACTCGAGATGTGTTCGCACTGCTTGCATGTTCCCAGTTGTTGACAAGTCTGGAACGAGACGGATGAGGCCAACAGACTCGCAACAAGTTATTCCAACAAGTCTGATATCGTCTGCACGTAATATTAAGTTGTTAACAAGTTGATGACAACAAGCTCGTAGCAACTTGTTACGAACAGCCTGCATTAGTCTTGTTGCAACAACTTGTAGCAAGTCTGTTACCGAAAACACGAATGTCTGCATGTAACGTTCGAACATGATAAATAAAACAAATTCGAATATTCGAAAAGTATAACACAAATATGACAGAATAATATGTGTACACACCGGCTATAGCTCTACTACAATCTACAATCATCGAGTTTAGACCAGACAATTACCTTAAACAATCGCTTCTAAAAAGGGTGAAAATACTTTAGAGTTTAATTCTCAGAAATAGAGCTTAACATTCAAAAATTTGACAAGTGAGAATTAGATTATATTAAAGTGACTCTGCATGGAAACGGAGATGGCAGCTGCATTCAAATCATGAAGATTATACATGGAAATATAATTTGTTATAATATATAAAAACTCATGCGACAGTTGGTGTATGGCAAAAAGAGAAAGACAATTTTTTCATGGGGGAACACATTGAAATACGGTATAGAAAAAGTCTAAGTCTTAATAAAGATAACGAGAAAATATAATGAAAATCTACCAATTCGAGCAAGACTGTACGCCTATGTAATTTTTTAGCTTTGTCTTAAATCTTTATTTGAGTTTTATAAATATATCATTCCAAGTTTTGCACATTCAATCCCAAGTTTCAATTATGTCTTAATGTTGCATGAAATTTATCCATGTTTAACAGTAACATCTTCACAACATTACACACACATCCACATTCGTGCGCGGTATATAGCTATTTAACAATGCACTGCTGAGATCTGGGTTGCTTGTCATAAAATACGTTCAATCTCAATATTTAACTTGACATTTCTTTACTAAATAGCCCCTCCCTTACGGTTTCTAAATCATACAAAAATCACCGTAACGAACAATAGCGCTCTGCGGCAAAAGCCACGGTGGGTACCCCCCGTCAGGCATGCGCTATTAGACACACAAAGAATATACACGAACACTTAATTCGAGCCAAATGTTTTCAGAAACCCGAGAAAAATATGCTATTGATAAAATTAATTTATAGCAAGCTAATTTTAAAGTTTTATGAGAGATTTCAAGAGGGAAATTACGGATGCTTATGCAGATTTACTTGCTTTAAGAACGACCAGAAATATGGAATGCCGTCTCCGTAAGACCAAGTCAGAGGTCCCAGTTGGTTGCTGACCTTTTGTATAAGGCCAAATAAAATACTTTCTTGCGCTCTGAACATAGTCCATAGGTATCTTGTATACACTCGATAGTGCATCTAATTATTCTGCAATTCAAAAATTGAAGCCGTGATTGCAGACTCAGGATATTCCCATGAAATGAGAAGACTCGTATGTTTTCTATTTCTTAAACAGGGAACTTAAACATTAAGTCAAACCTATTCCAAAGACATTTTCAAACTATTCAAATGATGAAAGTTATTGTTGTTTTTTAAGCGTTTATTAGCGAGTGGGAAACTCCAACATGGCCGCCATCTATTCAAATGGGGGTAACTGCTGGAATATTCTTGGCTTCAATTTTACTAAAAGAGATGCGCTATCTAGTCTATATAAGATATCTATGGCATAGTCGCACAACATGCACGTTAATAAATTACTTTATGTTCTACGTTTGTTTCTTGTCCATATTTATGTATGGACAAAGCAATGTTTCCCAAGAATCATGATCTAATCTTTACTGGAGAGGTTCAGATTTGACTGCTTGGTAATCATCTGATTGGTTAATCGGATATGTCAAAGGCATCTGATTGGTCAATTTTCCCTTAATGGTAGCGGTAGTCAACCTTGAGCCTATAGAAATGTTCCATTTGCAAGCACACAAAAAACAACCTCATGCCTCATTTCATTTTGAAAAAAAATTCTGATGAGAAAGCGGGATTTTTCATTTGGCCCAGATGTAACTTATAGCTTCCTACCCACCAATAGAGAAAACAAGAGCAAACGGAAATTAAAACCAGGCAAATTCGAAAGGTGAAGAATATAGGGAGGATAAAGAACATTATAGGATAAGAGATTAAGAGATAAGGATCAGAGTTCCTGGGTAAAGGTTTCTGTCAATTCTGTGATGAGAGTGGCGCCATGTTACTAGACCATAGCTTTTCAACGCTTGTCTTGACAAGAGGTTCACACAGTCTTATGTACATGAAAGCATGCTTTTTTGATCAGATAAACTTTGGTTAGAACTAGCAATTTCGGCTAGGACTTCAACTTGGCAGGTTATAATGTGGTAATCGATCCCACTAACAATTCCAAATCCCATCATCTAAATTAATCCAAGAGTGTTCTGCAACACTTCCATCATACTAGCATGCAACAACGGAACTTCCTTTCAAAACTTGATAGCATTTTGCTTTCTCTTATGTCTTCAGGTAAACAGTTCCATATATCATACATAAAACTCTTTTTTAAACTATTCGAATGTGGCTTTGGTAAACGTATTGTGCTTAAGGTGTCACGAAAATTGTGTCAACATTAAATACCGGCGTATTAATTTCATCTGCTCTCCTAAACTTTTATTTAAGGCATGACTACGGTGAACGAAGCAGAGTTAAAATTGATGACAAAACTCTTTCCACACTCGGCGACATTCATGAAAGATGTTCTGCCAGTTAAAGACAAGAATAACTCAGTGAACGTGAGCCTGCAGATTGCATTACGACAAATTATGGATATTGTGAGTATAGTAAAATGGTTGCTGCATCACTCATAAGTTTACACATAACTAATTTGTCATAAAACTATAACTTTTCCAGCATGAGAAAACTCAAGTGATCATTCTGAGCGTCTGGATACGACAATACTGGAACAACCCAATGTTAGCTTGGAACAGTTCAGAATATTTAAATATTTCTGCTATCAACGTGGACAAAAATCTCGTCTGGGTTCCCGATATGTGTTTATACAATACGTAAGTAATAAGGAAAAAACTATCCATGTAACTATATTATCGTGTGGAAGTAATTAGAAAACGTATAAGACACATGATTGAACAGATGTCAATAAAAGTGAAAACAGCAAGGGCAAAACATCAACGAAAACCAATATCACCATTATCAACAACAAAGACAACACAAAGTAACATCAGCGAGAACAACAACAGCAATAACTACTACAACGGCGACAACAACAACAACAACAACAACAACAACAACAACAACAACAACAACAACAACAACAACAACAACAACAACAACAACAACAACAACAACAACAACAACAACAACAACAGCAGCAACAGCAACAACAACAACAACAACAACAACAACAACAACAACAACAACAACAACAACAACAACAACAACAACAACAACAACAACAACAACGACAACAACAACAACAACAGCAACAACAACAACAACAACAACAGCAACAACAGCAACAACAGCAGCAGCAACAACAACAACAGCAACAACAACAACAACAACAACGACAACGACAACGACAACAACAACAACAACAACAACAACCACAACCACAACCACAGCAACAGCAACAACAACAACAACAACAACAACAACAACAACAACAACAACAACAACAACAACAACAACAACAACAACAACAACAACAACAACAACAGCAACAGCAACAGCAACAACAACAACAACAACAACAATTAAAATAACAACAACAATAACAACAACAATAACAATAGCAATAACAACAACAACGTCAATAACGACAACAACGTCAATCCAAACGCATCTAACACAAAAAAAACTCTAATTTCAGGGCAGATGACAGTGGAAGTCTGTACCAAAGCCTAGATACGAAAATCATTGTAACCAGTGATGGAAACTGCACATGGCTTGCTCCGATCATCCTGAAAAGCGAATGCAAAATTGACGTTGAATTCTTTCCGTTCGACGAACAATCCTGCTTACTCCAGTTCGGTTCTTGGACTTACAGCAGTCTCAGTATAGACGTACACCCCAAGGAAAAACAAGCCGACCTCGGTAGCTACATTACGAACGGCGAGTGGGACATTATTGATATCAGAGCGAAGCGTCATGAAGATTTTTACCCATGTTGTGAAGAGCCTTACCCGTCTATAATATTCACAGTGCGTGTACGACGCCGGATGCTGTACTATGTATCGAACCTCATAATCCCCTGTGCTGTTATCGCGGCTTTAGCGTTTCTTTCGTTTTACCTTCCAGTAGACTCCGGTGAACGTATCTCTCTTGTGATCACGGTGCTTTTAGCAATGACGGTGTATATGCTAATGGTATCGAATTCAATGCCGCCGACATCCGAAGTCATCCCGCTCATAGGAAAGTACTATTTAGCAGTGATGATAGAGATCGCCTTATGTTTGGTTGCGACATGCATGACAATTCGCTGGCACCACAATGACACACCCATGCCAAGATGGTTGCATTCGATGGTGGTACGTGTTTGTGGCAAGGTCTTCTGCGCAAACGGATCAGAGCGGCCGTTCCTCGACGCACCTTCACCCAACAGTTACAACGTGAATAACAACCAAATGGCGCTGGCAACCAGAAGCGAATACCAACACCCTAACAGCACCAACACACGCACAGTCCAGCTACGAGAGATCACCAGCAACCCAACGACAGATATGGAGTCAATCTATAAAAATCTCAGTGTGCTCTCGAAGAAGGCTGAAAGCGACGAAACGGAGGAAGGAATCCGCCACGACTGGAAGAAGGCAGCTCAAGTTTTGGATCGCTTGTTCTTTGTTATATTTCTCGTCACATTTATCCTCTTTTCAGTGATTATATTCACAGCCATACCGAACTATGACAGCTAAGGATCCACAGAAGAACACAGCAAGAATTGAAGAAACATTGTATGTTTCAAGCACAACATATTCATTAGGCTTTTGAGTTAAATATAAAACGATCCAAATAGGAGAACCTCGTACAAGGGTTGGGGAACATTGTACTTGTAAATTCTTAAAATATATAACAGCTTGTACATTAGGCATGGTGGGTTAAACTATACTTTTAGGCCCGTTTCATACGCCGTACTTCACATGTGCCGAATACATTAAAAACAATAGGTAATGAGGCATTTCAGCTCATTATCTATTGTCTTTAATGTATTCGGCACATGTGAGGTACGGCGTATGAAACGGGCCTTAGCAATTTTACTTTTTCGAAACAAAAACTTAATGATCTACACGAATATTGTACCATATACGCTTAACGTGTGACTAACCCCAATTATGATTTTTTGTATGTGTAAATATTTGGGTCATTCGAAGACGAAATGTAATATATCTTTATAATAAAAAATCCCATCTTGATCAACTTTTTCACTGTCAAAGTTTACGGACATGATGTATTTAGGTGAATTGCAAATTAGTTTTCCTTTGTTTTTTGTACCAAAAATTTACCTAATGACCTCATATCTGGAAACTTTGACAGTGAGAAAGTTGATCAAGATGAGGTTTTTTACTATAAAGATACATTACATTTCTTCTTCGAATGCCCCAAATATTACACATACTAAAAATTATATTTGGGGTTGGTAGCATTTTAACATATATTGTTTTTAACAACTGATGCATTACCCATTTGCATGGCAGTTAAAGCCATCAAGGACATCATTGGTAATAAAATTTTAGTTAACCTCGTTAGAAAGAACTCTGTGACATAGTAACAACCGTAAAATAAGTTATTTTACACTTCTTAGATATATGTCATTATTTTCTAGGGGCCGGTTGTTCAAAGCTGATATGGTGCTAACCATCGTTTAAATTTTAATCCGCGTCTTATAGTTCGTGTTTTTCTGCTGTATTATTTATAGTTTGTGTATTTTTGCTTTGTATCATTTCAAAACTTCAGAGGAGAAAACTCCCACAAGATACAAATATTTCCAAATTTATGAACCAGCTGTCGGAAAGTCTGCTTTGAATTATAGGTTAACCTATATGGATTAGGCTAATCGGCTTTCAATAACCGACTCAACGTTTTCCAAATTATTTGAAAGCAAATGATTAAGGCCATGTTACACGGTGCAATTTCTCTTGCAACTTGCAATGCAATTCTACTCTTGAGAGATGTAAAATTGCCAAATACGAGTCTTCATTACACTCCGCTGTTGTTTTCTCAACATATCGAAAATTCTTCGCTGATTTCACTAATTAACATCTCTCAAGAGTAGAATTGCATTGCAAGTTGCAAGAAAAATTGCACCGTGGACATGGCCATTAGTGAATAACTCAATATTTAACTACAAACTAGAATAACTATTTATGTAATTATTGTTCTGAAAATAAATCTTATCTTGTAACTGTCTAACTGTCATTCTGAATTCTCAAAGCCACCAAACATTGCACTGCATGGGAGGACATGCAGTCCTACCCGCTACCTTTTCACACGTTTACTGGAATCGCAGGGCCAGAGGTTCAACTCCTAGGCCCAAGGGCCTATAGGTGCATTTTTCCAACTGATAAAATCATAGGCTGCCCAAAAGTGCGTGTTGAAATTTTTACCCTCGCGCGTGGCGCTCGGGCATGCATCGAGTCTACACAGTTTATTATTACGACTATGATTATGATTATGATATCGGAATTTTTGGATTTTCATATACAACCTTTAGTGTGTAATGTACCATCTGTTATTAAGGATACTTCTGATTTTCTTCAAAAATTAAAGAGTTTGGGACACATTCCATCTACTGCTATTTTGTGTACTATAGATGTGATCGGCTTGTACCCTCATATATACCACACGGGGAAGGGTTGGAAGCGCTTCTGGCAGCTTTTAATAGGGCTGAGTGGGAGCTACCGGTTGAGGACTTGATTTCCTTGGCAAGGCTGGTCTTAGAAAACAACTATTTTGAATTTGATGAAAAAATCTTCCGCCAAAAATTGGTCATAATAATAAACTGTGTAGACTCGATGCATGCCCGAGCGCCACGCGCGAGGGTAAAAATTTCAACACGCACTTTTGGGCAGCCTATGATAAAATGTATGAAATTCACACTTGAAATTACCAACTACAAAACCTCGATATACAAACTCGAGCCGAAGGGATTTCAACAGTTGTGTTTTAAGAAATTATTTTTAAAAAAATTGATTTTAACTGAGAAAATCGAGGGAAAATTTTATGCCAATCAGGAGAATTTTGTATATGTGGATATAGCACACTTTATTAAACATTGATTTTTTTAAAAATTTTCTTCATAAAAATTGTAAATAGCCTATAAGTGTTACTGAAAAACCTAATAATATACACGAAAAACAGTGCTAAAAAAAGAAATGCAGTGCAAATTTCATTGACTATATTTGGGCTTTCTGATTGGCTTAAAATATGAAACAATAACAAAGATAGCCAATAAGATACAGCAATTTCCAGCAGAAATAATTAAAAAAAAAAACATTTAGGAGTTTTTAGGAGTGACTGCATATTTTTTCATGTATATTATTAATAATAGTATGGTTTCGAGTAGTGCAATTTGGAAAAACATACACTCGCGAGTTCGTCAAAGACTTCAAATTGCACTCATCCTTCGGACTCGTTCAATTTTGACAGTCTTTGAAAAACTCACTCGTGCATTTTTTTCCAAATTTCACTCGAAACTATGCTATTACCTTACAAATACATTACATATTAGTGTATCTAAACAGTTCTCCCTATAGAGGTGCAGTATAACGGTCAGTTTTTATTGATGGAGAGAAAAAACGCCTGATTACTTTAAATAATATGACTCAGTGATACAATGTTCCTTTGCTATAAAAATTCGCGTCATTTTGTATTGTAACGAGTAGTCAACCTCATAATAAGAACTGCAAGAAAGTCACAAATTAAATTTGAGACTCATTTCCCAGTGCAGAATAGCTAAGTGCAGAAATAGTATATCACGCGCAGTTGCACATAAATTATATATAGCAAATCATGCAGACCGCTGTACTAACGCGGTTATACTTCGATTGTAAGACCTCCACGTATCTTATTAAGACGATGAATAGCGTTTTAATAGTATTAATAATTTCACTGCCTTTGATCTTGCCCGCCAAACGAAGATGAAACAGCTAGCTGGACAATAAGAAAACTAGAGTGCCGTCTGTATTCTCGTAATCTGAGCGTAATGTACCTCGGAACATAAGGAATCCTAGAACTTTTGAAATTCCGAGGTATAAGACAGGTCGGTTCAAGAAATCATTTATAGTACATTTCGCTGAAATTTTTAACTCAGATTCGTAATTTTATATTTTTAAATTTTTCTTAATTAATCTTGTAAATATAACATAAATTTTACGCAATTCATTGCAAAGACTTTTTTAGCGTAATCCAGACTTTGACTGCAAAGCTGCATGGTACCTCTTGTAATAAACGATTTATGCGGTTCCTCTTAAATTAAATATACTTATGACATTTGCCGCCGTTTGGGGACAAATTGCAGGAGTGCGTTTGTAGATTTGCTATACATTATGCACGAAAACATTTAGGAATACAGTAATCTCATACTGTTGCGAAGCGCTGTATAAAGCTAATAACTGAAAAACGCAGTGAACATTAATAGAAATCGCCTTACGATCATTTAAAAGCGATGGTTGAAACTAGATTTCTATAATTGTTACAGCAGGCTTTATTTGAAAGGCTAAAATTAACGTGTTATTGGAATTTTACCCTTATACTAGACTACAAATGCATCAGAATTCAAAATGGCGTTGCCGCATATTGTTGAGTGAATTATGATTGTGTATCTTTTAGATTTTTCAACCATAATGCAGAGTACACGAAAATAAAACTCCGTCTTGGCCGTGTTCTTCCTTGCAATCGGGGGACTAGAAACAACGTCCATACTCTGGCGTCAAATTTCATAGCAGATGTAGCGTTCCAGGTCTTTTTTAGTTCAGTGGCTAACAGTACCTTATGTTAATACTTTAAATACAGGCACGACAGCTATATTCGTTTCATGCGAACGCTACACGACATATGAAAATTGATCCACTTTAAAGCAATTACACGAAGTCACAAAGGCAATTACGAACAGACAATAGTTCATAACACAATTCCTCGACATTGTTTTCAGTCACAGCAGGACAAAATATAACTATGGCTTAAATATATTCAATAATAAATCACCTTCAAAAATATGTCACATTTTCCAATGTGACCACGCTGAACATTTTAGACCGAAATGGATCAGTGAAAACAAAAAGATTATTAAAAATACTAACGCCGAAAAATTCAGTAAAACCACCGATTAGGGCACGACAAAAGGGAGCTCAAAAAATTTAAGGAGCCAAGCAGGTGTGCCGCATTAAAAATTCATGCCAGGAACCTCAAACCTTAAAGGACATTCCATAAACATGTTTTTCAAAACTATGCTTGCAGTTCGTGCACAGTTTGAAATGGAGGTAAAAGTACGCAGTATGTGACACAGTTAAT